CTGTTTTGTTATACGGTATGATCTTAGTTATTTTCAAACTGTGTCTTCATGGAAACAGCCAAGTTTGAGCATCAGAAGACCTTCCAGTCTACCTAATGCATGACCACTGTAGTTTTGAGAAGCGAATGTATAAAGTAATTTAAAACAATGAGGCTTACGTCTGTGGGGTGTGTGTGTGTGTGTGTGTGTGTGTTTATTAAGGTGACAGTGGACAACTGAGTACTTGCTGATGGATGAATGACATTGGGTGGGTGCTGATGGATGAGTGACAATGAAGATGTGTGTATATAAAGGCTAATCAATTCTGAACAATGATGAAAAGATTTTACAGTTGGAGCACCTGTCTGTTCAGTTGGCAGAACATGTGACTCTTGATCTTGGGGTTGTGAGTTCGAGCGCTGGGTGCAGCAATTACTTAAAATTAAAATCTTGGAAAAAAGAAGAAAAGGTTTTACAACTGACCTTTCTAACTACGAAGGTTTCTACATTTGATCTGAGCTTAAAACTGGAAAGAAAAAAAACCCTGATAACTCCAATATCTGGATCTCCTGGGAGATTGTATTTTATATGATCTGTCTCTCTCTTAGGTTTTAGGCATTAGTTCAGTTTCTTCGCATACATGATAATTCATTTTATTTAATGTGAAGCAATCTCAAATTTATAGCATGGTCCCAAATATAGTACAAAAACCCATATTCCTGACTCAGCTGAGGTATGTTGCCACCATCCCCCAAACGCTTCAACTCATGATTCCCATGAACAAAGACATCCTCCTGGATGACTACAATACCATCATCAAAATCAGGAAATTACCATTGGAACATTACTCCCATCTAACCCACACCCTCCATTCACCTTTCACCAGTGATCCCAATAATGCCCTTGCAGCAAAACCATCCAATACAGGATCACATGTTACACTTGGCTCTCAGATATCTCTAGTCTCCTTCAATATGGAACAGTGTTTCAGTCTTTTCTTGACTTTGAGGACACTCTTGTAGATTATAGGCCAGTTATTTTGTAGACGTTCCCTTAAGTTGGACTTGTCCGATGTTTCCTCATGACTAGATTTGGTTTGTGCATTTTATGTAGCAATGTCACAGAAGCGATGCTCTGTGTCTCTCTCATTGCCTCCTATTGGGTAGTGCACGATTGTAAGTTGTCCTATTACTGCGATGTTTATTTTGACCTCTTGATTAAGTTGGTGTCTGCCGGCCTTCTCCACTGTAAAGTTACCCTTCTCCCTTTGCAATTGATAAATATTTTGTAGGAAAGCACGTTGAGATTATGTCAACATCCCATTGCACAACAAACCTTCTGTATTTGCATTCAGTGTATCAGTATGGAGTCATGGATTCCCATTTTACTCGGTAAGTTATAATCTATTAATATCATTATTTATTTTGATGTTCCAAATAACCAGATCCTGCCAATGGAAGTCCCTTCCAGCTGGCTTCTGTATTCCTTTGACATGTCTCCATCATTCTTTGGATGCTTATTTTTAGAACAGCTTTATTGAGTATAATTCACATACCATACAATTCACCCATTTAAAGTGTACAATTCAGTGGTTTTTGGTACATTCACAGATGTGTGCGACCATTGCCGCTGTCAATTTTAGAACAGTTTCATTGTCTCAAAAGTAAACCTTGTAATCTTTAGCTATCATCCTCGTATCCTCCTGTCCCCACTTTAGCCCTAGGCAACCACTAATCTACTTTCCGTCTCTATATGTCTCCCTATTCTGGAACTTCATGTGAATGGGATCATATAACAGTTGGTGTTTTCTGGCTTTTTTTCACTCAGCATAATGTTTTCAAGGCTCATCCAAGGTGTAGCATATAGAATTACGGTAAAACGTTGGATTGTGAGTAGCTTGTTTGGCCAGTGTTCCACAAGACGAGCAAAACGTTCTAATAAATTTTAACTTGATAAACGAGCAACGTCTCACAATACGAGTAGCACGTGACACCAAATGTCACAACTGAGCCCGTGGTTCTACTCTCTCTCTTTCTCTCTCTCTCTCTCTCTGAGGGATTGTGGGTGATCGTCTCCCATGCTCAGATGCTCGGGTCTCAGGCCCAGGTGACCACCGACGAGCTGATGGATCCGCATCGTGAGCAAAAAGCTCAAGAGGTTATGGAGGACTGCAGAGGAGGAGGGGAAAGGTGGAGGAATCCCTCACTTCAAATGAGATTAGGGAGATGTGTAAAATGTGGGCAACAGTGCAAAATTTTGTAGAAGATCACCATCCGAATAAGGCTGTAACAGTGCGAGCGATGAATCTGTTTAACGACAACGCAACGTCACATTTCTGTGAAATCCTCAAAAGGGGGCAAAAGCAAGTGTCATTGGATAGGTTCCTTGTTAAATTTCAGGAAAAGAGAAAGATTCCATGGAGCCCACAGATAGCAGCAATTCCGTGAGTGATAGTGAAAGTCATCCTCCACAATAACCTTCCTCTCCCTGGTCTCCCTCACACCAGCCACGAAGGTTTTCAAAGGTACGTGCGGGTGAATTTGTTTCTTTTTCTTTATATTTTGTATTTTCATCATTATTTTGTATTACATTACAGTATTGTAATCATTTTTTATATGAATATTTTTGGGTTGTGGAACGAATCATCTGAGTTTCCATTATTTCTTATTGGGAAATTTGCTTTGATATACAAGTGCTTTGCATTACAAGCATGTTTCCGGAACAAATTATGCTCACAAACCAAGGTTTTAGTGTACTTCGTCCCTCTTTATGGCTGAATAATATTCCATTTTATGGATATACCATATTTTGTTTGTTTTCATCAGTTCATGGGCATTTGAGTTGTTTTCACCTTTTGACTATTATGAACAGTGTCGCTATAAACATTCCGGCACAAGTCTTTGTGTGGATGTGTGTTTTTATTTCTCTTGGGTATGCTTAGAAATAGAATTGCTGGGGGCGCCTGGGTGGCTCAGTCGGTTAAGCGGCCGACTTCGGCTCAGGTCACGATCTCGCGGTATGTGGGTTCGAGCCCCGCGTCGGGCTCTGTGCTGACTGCTCAGAGCCTGGAGCCTGTTTCAGATTCTGTGTCTCCCTCTCTCTCTGACCCTCCACCATTCATGCTCTGTCTCTCTCTGTCTCAAAAATAAATAAAGGTTAAAAAAAAATTAAAAAAAAAAAAGAAAAGAAATAGAATTGCTGGGGGGCACCTGGGTGGCTCAGTCAGTTGACCGACTTCAGCTCAGGTCACGATCTCACGGTTTGTGAGTTTGAGCCCCGCGTCGGGCTCTGTGCCGACAGCTCAGAGCCTGGAGACTGCTTCGGATTCTCTGTCTCCCTCTCTCTCTGCCCCTCCCCCACTCATGCTCTGTCTCTCTGTGTCTCAGAAATAAATACACACTAAAAAAAAATTTAAAAAAAGAAATAAAACTGCTGGATCATATGGTAACTCTATTTAATCATTTCTGAGTATTTTCTGCACAAAGGTAAGTCAGGCTTGTCTTGTACTTTCCCTGCCCCAGCCCTGTAATCAGCCATTTCTCCAAGAAGTCCTGGTTTCTTCAGGCAGACAATGGTATTTAGAAATCAAGACTTCAGCATAGCATAACGTTTAGAGTTACCAAATCACTGTGTTGTAAGCCTGAAGCTAATGTTCACATTGTGTGTCAACTACACTTCAATTTAAAAAAAAAAAAGAAAGAAAGAAAGAAAAGGGGCACCTGGGTGGCTCAGTCTGTTAAGCATCCGATTCTTGTTATAGGCTCAGGTCATGATCTCACGGTTCGATTCATGAGATCAAGCCCTGGGTCAGGCTCAGTGCTGACAGTGTGGAACCTGCTTGGGATTCTCTCCCTCCCTCTCCCTCTGCTTCCCCCTCACTTGCTCTCTCTCTCTCTCTCTCTCTCTCTCTCAAAATCAACATTAAAAAAAAAAAAGAAATCAAGACATGGTGCTAGCTATGCTCGTTATCATTAAGATGTCACTGCTCCCCAAGCCCTCGCAGTAGATGAAGCTAGGAAATATACGCACGTATGTACATAAATGTGCAGACATCGACACATACACACAACATAAACACATATACACATTTACATCAACAATTATTTTTATATCTACTTACTTTGAAAATCATGAGATCTCACCAATATCTCCAATTCCAGTCTAACACCGTAGGGTTCATTCCAGTTTTCTTCCCTTCCATATTTGCAACACCCTTTGCCAACATGGAGAAACCTGCTTCATTCCCTCCACATATGTACTTACTGGATCGGTCCCACTGTGGGTAACCATGGCCCATTGCCACTGCTTGCCATGCAGACCCCTCCTCAGCCCTCCTGGGCTCCCACACCTGCCTCAGGCCACCCCCACCGCCCCTTCTCCCATCTGGACATGTTTTTCACCCCCACAGGCTCTGACAGCCAAGGCTTTGGATGCCCTGCCCCTCTCCAGCCCACCCCTGCAGATGCCCTTCTCATCCCCTGCGGACTCCACTTCCCAGTGCTTGGCCACTACCTTGGTCCAGTGACCCCTTCACGGCCTCAAGGTCCAACCAATCTCCCTCACTGAGATGGCTCCATGTGGATATCTTCCTTATCTCGTATGGGCTTTCACATCCCACAGCAGTGCCTTCCTCCTTGGATGCCCTCCTTTGTCTGCTTGAGCTCTGACATTCAGGAGAGGCCATCTGCTTACATGACTGAGCTTTGACTTTCTCCTCTCTCTCTCTCTCTTTCTCTCTCTCTCTGCACTCCCCACCCCCAACACCCACCTGCTCTGCTCTGGCTGTCCCCCCAAGCAGGAAAGCCCTCCTGACTTCACCTGAGCTGTGAAACCATTGCCGGACACACCCCCACCCCACCCCCCACCAAGGGACATTCACCTTGGTCCACTTACCTAAAGGCTTCTGGACTGAACTGTGCTTAAAGGGAAGGGAATAGAAGGGAAGGGGAAAAGAAAGAGAGGGGCGAGGAGGAGGAGGAGGAGGAGGAGGAGGAGGAGGAGGAAGACAGCTGCCTGGCAATTTTTTTTTTTTTTAATTGAAAGGTGGACGTTGTGTGTGACAGGTGGTGGAGGGTCTGGTTGATGGCCTCTTCTCCCACAGAGAACTTCACTTCCTTCTCCAGACAGAGTCCCTTCCAGGGTCCCAACGGTAAGCCAGATCAGAGCAGGCTGAAGAGTGAGCCCAATGGCAGCAAAGACAGCCTTTGTAAGAAGTGTGCCCGGAAGGGAAGAGAGCGCCAGGAAGGTGATGTGGGGGCTCGGGAGAGCAGGGAGGTGAGAGACACCAGCACGCATATGTGGGCATATGTGGGCGGATGGGAAGGAGGCTCCACCATGGGATGTGTGGGCAGCCCCGGGAGAACCGGGGTGGGGAGCTGGGGCAGGAGTGCGGGGCCCCGAGCCTGGGGAGGCGGGCTTTGGCCAGGATGGGGTACCAACCGCCTCATAGGGTGAGGGGAGGAAACGCTAGCTCGGGCCTGCCAGGTGTATGGGACTTGGGCTGGGTCGCCGCCTGCATTTGTGTGCGTCTCCAGGCGGCTCTTTCCCGGACTGGCTGAGGTGAGCTCACCGCAGAGAAGGGTAGCCCAGGGTGGGGGGGAAGGAGGGAGAGGGAACCGGATGCAGTGGGGAGGGGGGGATATCGACCTAGCCGGGGGGGGCGGGCAGCCAGGGCAGGGGGGAGCTCCAGGAGGGGAAGGACCTGGGGAGGGGGCGTTATTAATTGGAAGGGGACTTGGAGGTCCCATCTCTTTGTCTAGACGGGGAGCATCTGAGAGCAGTGACTGTCCCTTCCCCTCTGATAATGGTCCCAGCGCAGAGCCTCCCTGTAGGAAGTGAAGAGGCAGCCTCTTTTCTCATTTTCCAGGGCGGGGGGAGGGGAGCAGTGTGAGCCCCAGATTTGCTGCTTCATGGCCGGTGTGGGGAAGTGAGGGTCCCTCCCCTCTGCCTCCCTCCCCTCCCCAGTTAGGCCTTTTGCCCCCCCAGGGATACTGGAGCAGACCAGTGTTCTGGGTAGGGGGTGAGAGAGGGGGTAGGGAAGGGGCTGGGGGCTTTCTCTCCCCCTCCCTCCATCCACCACGGGTCAGGCAGGGGTGGGGCGGGGGGTGGGGGGGACCAGCAGCCCCAGGCTGGATTTGTTTCTCATTTTGCTCTTGGCTCTTCTGGTGGAAAAATCGAAGCTCTCCCTTTGGTACAGCTGAGGCCGAGAGCAGAAAGGCGAGCGTGGCTGGGAGGCTGTCCTGGCGGGGAAGTTGAGGGGCAGGCGGGGCCTGGCTGGGAGAGACTGTCCCCCCTTCTCAGCCCCCTCTGCTTCTACGTGGCTCTCCAGGCCCAGGCTTCAGTCCTGCAAGGCTGAGGTGGAGGGGGCGGGGCCTGGGAGGAGGCCAGCACTGGCTTGGGTTCAGCCTCAGGCCCATAGCACCCTCTCCCCGGCTTGTCTCCAAAGCTGCCTCCAAAGGGTGACTTCAAGTCCCCTTGGTGTCCTAGAAGGAACCACTGGGAAGCTGCAGCAAAAGGGAGCTGAGTCAGGCTAGAACACGGCTTTTTCCTAAAGGGGAGGCAAGCTGTGTGCTCAGAGTGTTCCCCAGACAACCACCGGGCCCTTCCTGAACACTTGAGGACACGGGAAGCCTCTCTGTGCATTATCCAGGTCACGTTCACAGCCACCCTAAGCAGCAACAGCCATCCCCGTTTTACAGGGGGAGGAAACTGAGGCTCTGAGAGGCCAAGGTTTGCAGAGCCTCTAAGTGGCAGAGTCAGGATTTGAACCCACTTGTGCCTGGCGCATTGGATGGTGTTCTTTCCTGGAAACACTGGCAAGCCTTCCTCCCCCGGGGCCCGGAGCCCCCTGAACGCCTCTTGGTGAGCTGGCCCATCAGGGAGAGAACCCTCAGGAATCCGAGAGGTGCTTGGAGCCATGCCCTTGCCTCAGCCCTGCCCCGCAGTCTCTCCCACCGTCCCCAGCACCTTCTTTGGCAGAGAGGAACCTGGGGAGATCTCCCACCCACCCCCACTCCATTTTTCCAGCCACTCCAGTCCCTCACCCAGGCCCCCTTTCCAGCCTGATGGAAAGAGGAGCCCAGAGAGGAGCCCAACCACTTTCCCTCTGGAATCTGCTGCCTCGGCTTTCGGATGGAGAAACCATCTGGAGTGTATTACGGGCGGTGGAGAAAGCCGAGAGCAGGAAAATGTGAGTTGGCCCCTGAGACTCCCGTCTGCAGGAAGAAGGGGCTCAGTGCTCTTCAGAGGATGGGCCAGCAGCTGCCCCCCACTTCCCCAGTCCCCGGAGGGGGCAGATAAGAGATGTGCCCCGGGGAGAGGGTGGCCTGGGGAGGACCGTGCCCAGGCCTCTGGACACCTCTGTGGAGCCCTGCTTGAACCTGCTTCTCTTACCTACCCTCCCATTTCACAGATGAAACGGAGGTCCAGAGAGGGATAGTAACTTCCCCCAGGATCACACAGCAAGTCAGGGGGAACCAGATCAGAGGGGTGAGGGCCCTCTAGGCTCTTCCGGGGGGGGGGGGGGGGGGGGGGGGCGGGGCAGGAGCCCCTCCCCTGCACAGCCCCAGCTCCAGACGTGGCAGGGCCAGCAGGAGTGAGGTTTCTCTGCTCCCTCCCAAGTGCCCTGCTGGCGGCTCCCGAAATAAAAATCAAATGTGGGCTTGGCAGAGCGAGCGGGGTGTGGGAGAGCAACCGGCAGCGAGTGGCGGCAACGCTGGGTTTCATTCTTTCCATTGTAACTTCACCTCCTAACCTCTGGCATTTTAATTATTCTCCTACCCGCTTGCTGCTGCTGCTGCTGCTGCTGTTGGGGCCAGAGGGTGAGCTCACCCTTTCCTCCGGCCAGGGAGGGGGCGGCCGCTGCCGGGACCCCCAGCCTCCAGCCTGCTCCCGGGAAGCTGGGGGGCGGTGGGAGGGGGCGGCGCCAGGCAGGGGTCACAGGCCTAGAGGCTTCCCTCTGCCTCTGCCTTCCCCGGCGGGGTGGGGTGCCCAGAAAGGGCCAGGCTCCCAGACATCCAGCCTGGCACCTAAGGTTCTATGGGTGAATCATTAGGTCCTCACATCCACTGCTCCATTTAACGGTGGCCACCGTCTTCCGCCAACGCGTTACAGGCCCACCGCCCACTTTGTGTGCCGCAGGCATGCTCAGTGTGTGCAGAGCGGGGGCCTACGACCCGGGGCCCCGGGGCTCCCAGTCTGCGCTCTTGCCAGACCCGGGGAAGAGGGCAAGAACAGCTCAGGCCTGATCGTTTGCCTCATCGCCCCAGAGTGTCCATTCCCCCCCTCCCCCGATGGTAAGTGATTTAAAGCATTTTTTTTTTTTTTTCATATTAAAACACGCAAGGGCATAGTAGGGGGTAGGAAGCAAAGTGGCCTGTGAACGTTTTTTACAAGTTCCCAGGAGAGATCGCCACTTGGGGCTGCCCCCGGATGCCAGGGAACAGCATCCGGGCGGCGCCCCCCCGCGGGGCGGGCGGTGGGGGGGGGGGGGGGGGGGGGCTTATCTGTGTGTGGCTCGTTTAGTTGGGGCCCCGGACTGCTGCGTGAAGATGCTGGAGGGTGACGGTGGGCAGCCTGGGCCCATCCCGGGCTGCAGAGGCCCGGAGCTGGAGCCCTCTGCCGATTCTTGTGCCTCCCGGGGAGGTCGGTTTCCACGGGACACGTAGCACAGGCCCAGGGAAGCCTCCACTTGGAGCCCCAGGGCCCACCGAGGCCTCCTGCTTGGCCGCCAGCTTCCGGAAACTTCCCCACCCCACCGCCTCCCTGCCTAGCCCTGGGAGGAAGCCCTCTGTCTTCCTCTTCCTTGCCCTGTCAGTCTCCCCTGAATGCATGTTCCATCAACGAGCAGCTCCTGGGCACCTACCCTGCCCGTGCCGCGCCTCGTCATGGGCAGTTAGGGTCTCTCTGCCCCAGTAGAGTTTCCAGAAGCAAGGAGCAAAGTGCAGTGCCCTCGGTGCAAACGCGAGCGTCGTGGTGGGGGCGCGCAAGGCTGCGGCAGCCCTGGGAAGGAAATTCGTGACCCAAGCTTGCTGAGCGGAGCATCAGGAAACGCGTCCCCGATTGAGTGCTAACTGGGAGGAGCCCCCGGGGAAGAGCGTGGCTGGCCTCGGGAGCATCCCTGCGAAGGCCCAGTGATGAGAGAGAACCCAGTGCGGAAGCTGCAGGTGTAGCAGAAGCTGCAGGTGTAGAGGCTGACAGGGGGCGGGGGGGGGGGGGGGGGGGGGGGGGGGAGGGGGAGATGCAGGGGCGCCTACGGTGGGGGGTGGGCAGGTAGGATGACACGATCAAATGGGTGCTTTGGGAAGATTTCTGGGTGACACGTGGAGGACTGGCTGGAGAGTGGTCAGAACGGAGGTGGGGAGGCGGCTCAGGAGGCTGCCACACAGGTCCGGGTGGGAGGTGACAGTGGCCAGGCCCAGGCCAGTGGCAGCAGGGTGGCAAGGGGTAGGTAGCCAGACTGGGCTTCAGGAGGCAGAAGTCACAGGACTTGGTGACAGATTGGCAGAGGGATAAGGGCTGGTGCCTGGGTTTCTGGTTTGACCATCTCGCCAGGGGCTTTACTGCCGAACGTGGTGACTTTGTGGCATCCGAGTGGATGGTTCCAGGTGGGCTGGATGCGTGAAGGGTCCCTGGAGACAGTGCAGAGAGAAGAGACCAGGCCCACACCCGAGGGAAGACAGAGGAGACAGAGCCCGCTAAGGAGCTGGAGAAGGAGTAGGACAAAGAGGCAGGCGGGAAACTGGGACAGGAAGGGGCCGCCAAAGCCCCCAAAGGAGGAGGCTTTCTAGAAGGCCAATGGCCAGAGGTGAAGCTGGCTGAGGCCCGAAAAGGGACATACGGTCTAGGGACCAAGAAGCTTTTGCCTTTTCCCTGACCCCAGCCTCCCCCAACTCTCTGTTCCACAGCCCCCCCATCCTAAACCCCACCACCCTCACCCTTCAATGCCCCCTCCCTCTTCCCCACGCGCCCTCTTTCCCCTCACTCTTTCTCTCTGACCCGAGGCTCAACATCTTTCTCAGAGAAACTCCACGCCACCCTTACCCCACTTGGGTCCTGGCTGCCCTCCCTGGCTCCCGAAATCACCCTCCACCCCCACCCCCACCATCACCAACAACAACATACACCATCACATTCACCTCTCACCAGAGAGTCACCCAGATCCAGAAGCTGGGGCAGAGAGGAGCACACATCCCAATCTGACCTCCTGGGTAGCTCATAGCCTCCTCGATTGAGCCCTAGGGTCAGGCTCTAGGCCAGCTCCAGGCCAGCCTGGCGCTCAGGGGCCGACAGCCTAAAGGAGAGAGAAGCAAGGGCCTGACAGGCCCGTGCCGATTGAGAGGAGAGGCCCAGAGAGCAAGCTGTGGCTGTCTGGACCCAGCAGAGGGGCCCTCGTGGACTTCATGGAAAAGGTGACTCTGCCCGGGACCTTGAAGAACTGGCAGGATTTGGTCAAATGGCCATGGGAGCAGAAGGAGCTGCAGGAGGAGAGAAGGGCGAGAAAGGGTGTGCAGGTGGAAAGGGGTCCACATGTGCACAGCAGCCCGTAGCTCAGGGTGGCTGGTGGCCTCAAAGCGGGGAGGGGAGGGCAGGAGGCTTCAAGGTGAAGGGGCCAGATCACAGGGGCCTGGAGTGCCAAGGGAGAAGGTGTCAGACTTTGCTGCCTCTTGACCCGGGGCTTACCGATCTGGTGCTGTTTCCCTACTCATTCATTCATTCATTCATTCACTCATTCAGGAAATATCTGAGGTCCTACTCTGTGCTAGGCAAGTGCTCAAGATACTGTGAGGGACACAACAAAGTCCCTGACATCCCAGAGTTTAAATAAGTTCCAGGAAGAGACACAGGCTATAATGCCATAAACAAATGAAGACTAAAAATGAAGATCATGATAGGGGTTGTGAGGAACATAATGACTGGCCAGGCTTTGAGGGTAGAGACTGTGACTGAGGGCTCCCTGTGGGCAGAGCCCGCATCTCCTCCATCGGACTGGGAGCCCTGCGCCTCTGAGGAAGGACAGAGAACGGAGCATCCGGGAACAAAAGCTGAGATTCTCAGTTCCCAGGAATGGCTGCTTCCCCAGCCCAAGGACCCTCTAGCAGGGCCCTCTGGGGCAGTGCCCACATGCTGACCACACCCCCACACCCCAGCCATCACAGTCCCTCTTCTTGGTGCCTGGTGGCACAAGGAGGGCTGAGACCCATGAGCCGGAGCCCAGGCTATAGGAAGCAGGTGCAGCGGGTCCGGGAAGGTCTCTATAGACGGACCCGGGATCCGAGGGTGGCGGCAATCTTGGAAAGGAACCCCCCTTCCCAGCCAGGCCTGAGGGGGAGGGCTTCTTTCCCCCCTCCCCTCAAACTCCCACCCCATTAAACCCTTAAATTAACCTCAGCCCCACCCGAGCTGGAGAGAGTGCCCCAAAATAAATCTTAAATTACATGCTGCCTGGGGGCAACCACAGCTCTCCTTCCTCCCTCTCCAGCAAGCAGACCCGCCCCACACAATGCTGGGGGGGGGGGGGGGCTCCTCCCCAAATGGCTATTTATACAGCTCCCCTTTTTGCTGTCTGGCCTGGTTGCCTTTGGGTGGGTGAGGCCCAAGCAGGCTACACGGCTCTCCTGGGAGGGTGAAGTGGGTGGGGGAGGCTGTGAGACTCTCCAGGGTCTGACCGGGCATGGGGACATCATTTATGGGCCCCATCAGGATACTCTGGGGCGCTGCTAACATTACACCCAGGCAGTGGCATATATCTGGATCATGGGCACAGCGGGCATCTGGTCACCTAGCAAAGGGGCCCAGACTGCAGTCTCCCAGAGCATGGCTTTCTCACGAATGAGAGAGAGAGAGAGAGAGAGAGAGAGAGAGAGGGGTCCTTGTTCCCTAGCTGCCCACTGAGCAGTTCTGAGGATGGGCACCCCTTCCTCCCCAACCCGGCAAGGACAAGGCTGCTCTGGCCCCAAGGACCCCAAGCACAGGGGGAGCCTGATGGGGGTGCTTGGCAAAGAGAGTGGGAAGCTGGATGCAGTCATTTTGAGACCCCAGGCCTAGGCCAAGGACCTCCCTGGAAAAGCCACCTACCATTCTGGGAACCCGGTCCCGAACTGGGGCCGCTCCCCTCGCGGAGTACAGAGGGGGGAGGGGAGGGCAGAGGCAAGAGAGAAGGAACTGGACAAGACAGTGGGAGACAGAGACTTGCACACACAGAGGAACAGAAATAAGGAAAGAGACAGACGCAGAAGCACCAAGGTTTGGGACAACACGGAGGTTGCGAGGACATGGCCTCTCCTGGGTGGCGCCCGTGGGCCTGGACCCCTGTCCCCTGTCCCCTGGCTCCTGCTCTCCGGGAGGGCAGGTGTAGGGCCTCCAGGCCACCCCAGGAGAGAGACTCTCCCGCTGCTCCTCCATGCCCCACCCCTGCCCACACCCCCTCCCCCCCACCCCTACAACCTGCCCCTCAAGGGGCTTCGAGGGGGCTGAGGCTTCTCCTCCCTCTCCATTGCCCTGCGAGAGGGGGCAGCAGTGAGGTTAGAAGGCGGACAGGTAAACAGGTGGCCCCTCTTACTGGGGACTCAGCCCCAGAGGAGGGGAGGGGAGAGTTGCAGAGGAAGGGGGCGGAGGGGGGGTAAAGGAGCAGGAGAACCGGCCCGCGGAGGAGCTGGCTTCCAGGCCTGAGTCCTAGGAGGAGAGAGTGACATGGCCCAGGGATCCGGCAGTGGGTGTGGTACTACTGTGTCCGGAGGACAGGGGGAGGGGATAGAGGATCCCACCAAGGCTGCCGGGGACAGATGAGGACCCCTGCAGCACGGGGGGCAGCGAGTTACAACAGCCCTCCGCCCATACAGGTGGCGACGCGTCGCCTCCCTATTAAACTCGGTTATCCGTCCATTTACC